TAATTTTCTCTGGGAATCTCTTTCATCTAGTACTTGCTGTTCCAGAAAATTCTAAATCCTCAATTGAGGGCTGGCCACTTGGTGAGCAGACCTTTGGGCACATAGTTTTGTGTCCTGAGCTCCTCTGTTTTACTGCAGAGGTTTTTCCCAGAGAGTGAGGCATGTTTGTTTCTACAGATTATGAAGGAGAAGCCTCGCCTGCCTGTGGCTTTTGCGGGTGGTCGGCACCACTTGTGAAGACGAATTGAATACAGCCACGTGAGGTTTCCAGAATTGGGTTTCTGAATTTATTAATTATTGATTAGTGTCTGCAACTCTTTTTCTTACCCTTCTCTGTTATGAAGCATTTATCCTTCTTGGATTTTTCTTCTTCTTGTGAGCCTCTTATTGGTACATCTCTTCCTTTGAAAGAATCTTATTCAAAACCTGCCATACTAAGTTACAACAAACAGCTTAGCTAGTTGTCTTTGTTTTCCCTCTGGCGAGTACTGGTTACTCAGAGAATTCTATGCTATTGTAAATTACTTACAGGAAAGGGAGCATCAGGTAATTACTCCAAATAGTTGGAGTTCTCCTAAGAACACCGGGTTACTTAAAAATGTCTGAGGATGAAGTCACTTCTGAATATAACTTCACTCAAGAGGACAAATAGGCAAGCTGCATTTAGCATAATACAGTAAATTGGCTTTAAATTCCTTGATGGTTGAACATTTGTCACTGTTACAAATATATCCCTTTTTCGATTTTGTACTGCTGTGCTGTTCAGATAGTCAAGGCTTAGTTGGCTTCTGCAATGATAAAGGCAAAATACTCCTTCATTGGGTCATAAATATTCATGTGGCTAACTCCTGCACACAGAGTAGGGTCTTCTAAAAAGGGATCCAGTGGTCGTTTGGGGGGCAGGGTATTATTTTTTCACTTTTGTTTTGCTTTGTTGTTTCCTAGCCTGATTTGAAAGGTATTTTAGCAGCATCCTTGAGTTAAGAACATTGTCATCATTGCTTTGTAGTCGTTGTTGTCATGGTCTTCAGGACCATCATTGGAGGTTGGGGGAAGCAGACTAGTACTGAGAGCAGGAAGTTGTCATCTGCCACATTAGGCTTACTGACGCAAGCCCAAATTTCACAAGCAGACCCCAGTATACCGGATGATTTTTGTAACACTCAAGTATCAGCTGGTCCACATCCCTCTTGAACATTCTTTGAGATGCCGTATCCCTGTGGGTGCTGTTGGATCTTTTATGTAACTGTCATGGTACCATTTCTAAGTGTATTTAAATACTCCTTCATGTCCTGCTAACGGTTTTCCCTGAATCAATCTGAGGAACAGTAGTGCTGTTTACAATATTTTGTGAAATCTCTTCTCTCCAGAAATACTGACATAGGGCTGCTAATTTGTCTTATTTTTCTACGTACCGATAAGAATGCTTTTGAAAGTTTGTGATGGGTTCACAGCAGCAGTCGGTAGGTTCTGTTTTCACCCTTACTCACCTACTTGTTTTCCTCCTTTATGAACTTGAATCTTCCCCAGGAGACTTACAAAACTAAAGTTACCAGGCCGAGAGAATGACTGAAAGAGTAGTTGAATTTTGATAAACCTCACTACCTTTCTTCCCCCCACGATTGCGTGTTTGCCAACTGAGCCTCCTTTTGCAACTTGTCTTACTACTTGATGGCAACAAACATTTGTGTTTCCCAACAGGCTTTTTCATTGGAAGATGTTGCCCTTGAAAGCAGGAAACCAATGGCTTTCAAAGATGGCAGTGCACTTTGGAAGTGGGCGTCTGGTGGGGCCCAGCTGTCAGTGTGGAATGCAGCTGGAACTAGGTGTGGCCCATCACCTAAAATTTCCTATCTTCAGTTTGGTTACCATTCTAACCACTTAAGAACTGCACGGTATGTGCTGTTTTATTTCCAGGGCAAAGCTTAGCTCTAATGGCTTCCCTCATACTTGCCTTCAGGTCAGTGAAATGTCACTCTTTGGTAGCATTTAAATGCCAGGTCCATTTTAGAAAGAAGAAATGGTAAAACTGAAGTTCGAGGATTGCGTTGGCTTTATACCTTTAGATTTGTAAATGCTTCTAATGTTAGGTTTTTGTAGGTTGATCATGAGGAAGTGATAAGTATGTTAGGCTATTTGTGGTTGGAGCTAATTTTAGTCTCTGTTCACAGCTTGCTTTATATCCTTTGATTAAAACCTGCTTTCTAGAAAGACAAATTTTGAATGTAGGGCACAATCTATATTCTACATTTGGCTCCATTTCAAAAAATATATTCTTAGTCCTTTGGAAGCTGGACTGTTTGAAGCATTGTGACATAATTTTAAAATCATTGATTTCTTTGCTCAGTGACATCTCTGCCTTTTCCAGCAAGTAAATTAGACTCGTTGATAGGGGTTTGGAACTCTTGCTCCAAGCCAGAGGTTGAAAAGGCATGGTAGATGTTGGAGAATTTTTAAAAAGATGATGAGTAACTTGGAGATGGGTTGAAGTGAGGCTGGAGGAGACTATATATAGGAAACCTTCCCCACCCTGTCCCCTGATTTGTGGTGGCGTTGTTAGTGGCCATCAAGTCAATTTGAACTCACGGTGACGCTCCACGGGGTTTCCAGATTGCTAGGCCTGTTTTCCCAGGCACCTCTGGGTGAGTTTGAACTCCCAGCCTCTCAGGTTGTAGTCTGGCATTTAACCAGGTGCCCCACCTAGGGACTCCTTCCCCTTAGTTGACAGAGGGTTTGGTCCTAAGGGCAGGAATGTGTATCTGGTCTCCAGTACTGATTAGTTTTATGTAGAACAGTTGTGTGTACAGTCTTAGTCCAAGATACCCTGCTACCGTAACCAACTACCATGAACATAAATGCCCACAGGAACTGGGAGGTAATGGAACAAGAGGAGTCAGGATACCTGGGTTTGAGTTCTGATTCTGCCTTTAACTGCTGTGGGAGCTGGAAGGAGTTAGAGGACCTATAAAATGTGGCAATTAGACCACACACCTAATAGCATGATCCAACTCTAACCTATAACTGTGTGGTCACGTGAGGAGCCAGGAGGGTGAGGCAACCTTCCTGGAAAAATCGGGGCTTTGTGTCATGTCGTGTGGGACTTGGTAGTACTGTATGGCTGTGTCGTGAATCTCCCATTCCCTAAAAGTGGGACAGAACTTCAAAAGTTCACATTCATTCAAATTAAAACCTAAAACCCACAATTACATCCTTACGAATAATAAAATGCCCTGTGAGGGTGTAGATCAGATTGTATTGTAAAATTACCGAATGCTACTGATGACTGCAGTTCCCTTTGAAATTCTTCTTGTGTCTAAAGAGGATTGTAAATGGACCAAAATCTCCCATTCAAGGAGGAAATGCCC